TCACCACCACGGCCAGCATTATCACCATCATCATCATCACCATCATAATCAACATCGTCAACATCATCATCATCATCACCATCATCATTATTGGGGCACCATCATCACCACCATCACCATCATCAGCATCATGATCAGCATTATTTTCAACGTCGCCGACATCATCATCATCATCATCATCATCATCATCATCATCATCATCAGCAGCAGCAGCAGCAGCAGCAGCAGCATCATCGGGACACCGACGGGACACCGCGGCGGGACATCGGCGGGACACCGCGGGCCACCGGCCCCCAGAAGGGAATCATTTTGTCCGGCCGCGCTTCAGCCAGAGGCGGGACACCGGCGGGACACCGCGGGCCACCGGACCCCGGAAAGGAATCATTTGGTCCGGCCGCGCCTCAGCCGGAGGAGACTTTCTTCTCGCCCGCCCACGCAGCTTCGCCTCGCCCGCACGCACGGCACGCACGGACACGAAACCAAAACCAATTTCCCGGTAGGGGGGCTCTCCGTTCCACTTCGATCTCACCGCTTCACCTCCGATTCAGTACCCCCTTCCTCCTTTCCTCCTCCTCCTCGTCCTCCTCCTCCTCCTCCTCCTCCCATAGAGGCATGGAACGATGAAGAACAGGAGGAGGAGGAGGAGAAGGAGGAGGAAGAGGAGGAGGAGGAGGAGGAAGAGGAGGAGGAGGTGGAGGTGGAGGAGGAGGAGGAGGAGGAGGAGGAGGAGGAGGAGGAGGAGGAGGAGGGGAGAGCAGCAAGAGAAGGAGGAGGAGGAGGAGAAGGAAAAGGAGGAGGAGGAGGAGGAGGAGGAGGAGGAGGGGGGGAGGAGGAGGAGGAGGAGGAGGAGGAGAGGAGGAGGAGGAGGAGGAGGAGGAGGAGGAGGAGGAGGGAGGAGGAGGAGGAGGAGGAGGTGTAGTAGGAGGAGGAGCAAGAGAAAAAGGAGGGACGTGTTTGATTCCCCGCCGGGAGAAAACAGGGGATGGGGGGAAGCAAAACTAAAGACTTACCGAGATTACCGCTACCCTCGCCGCACTTGCGCCTTTTTGGGCCTCCTGGGAGGCCCTCGTCGCCACCGCTGGATTCGCTCGAAATCTTGGCCAGAACGGGCCCCAGGAAAGGGGCGTGGAGCAGCGGGTGCCAGGATTTCCAAGGCCTGCGTGATGAAGTCATGCAGGAGTCAGAGTTCTGAGTCTCCTCCTCCTCCTCCTCCTCCTCCTCCTCCTCCTCCTCCTCTTCGTGTGCCCGGGAAACAGCAAGGCAGTTTTTGTTGACCTTCGAATCTTTCTCGAGTCTGAAAACGTCACCCGAATACGGTTCACCGAGACGGTAAAAAGATGTTCACCGATATGGCCTGGGCAGTCCAGAGATCCGAGGGACGTTTCGACTTGGACCGAAAACGGTTTGGATCCAGTGATTTGGACCATGTCTCCACCAAGAGAAAGGAACACGGCAAACGAACGGCGCCGGAAGCGTCAGAACATCGGCGCCAGAAGCGGTAGCGAAAACGGGAAAACAACAGCAGTTTAACAGGCCCTGTCGTTTCCAGGGCCCGCCGAGGTTGGAAGTCTGAGTCCTTGCATGTACAGTCCGACCGAAGTCAAATATCGAGGTCGGTTCGGGAAGTGTGCCCCAGTGTTCTTCGTGTTTGTTGGATGTTATTGTGCATCCTCTGGGAGGGTATCCTTGGATAACCTGTGTGTGTTTTGGGCGACGGAGGGTCCCACGCTTTCGAAGGATGTTCCTCTAGCCTGGGTCCGACTTGAAATTTCGAGTCCGTGCCTGTTGTTTTCATAAATAATAATATAATAATACATTATATCTATACACAAAAAACAGCAGCAACAACAACAACAAAACAAAAACGTGCGCGGAGTGCTCCTGAAGGGAGCCGCGCCTCCGCGGAGTTTCGAGGAATTGGCTCCCTCGCCCTCGGCGGAGGCCAGCGGCGGGCGCTCAGGAACAAGCGGCGGTAAATCGAGAAAGGCTTCGCATGCGGAGTCCGGCGGGAGCTGGCGTCAAGGATCGGGGGATTTACCCATCGGTCGTTGAAAGTAGGTATTTTTGGAGTCCCAGATTCTAATCTACGTTCAGCGCGTTCCTACTTCAACGATCGAGTGTCTTGACATGTTCCGTCCTCTGTAGGGGGCGGGCGGACACCCAATCTATTTTCCAACGCCTTCCTACTTCATGTTTCTACCTACTTTTTCCGACCGATGGGTAAGACTCGGGTGCGCCGGAACACCAGTTTGCCCACGCTTTTCGACGAGCGCGTCATGGATTTGGACGGTCCAGATTTGTTGGATGCCTGCAGCGGGAGCTCGCGTCAAGTTTCAGACTGGGTCCCGTCATTTTCATGATGGCCCTGGCGGGCCATCCCGAGTCCCCCGAGCCCGAGTCTTACGTCTCCCGAAAGGACACGGACGCTACAGGCACTGAGTGGGTCGTTTTT